AACAGACTTGATTTAAGTGCCTCAGACCCCGATCTCCGATATCTGAGACATGAATGCAGCAGCAAATTGTATTCAGGGTCAGCTAGTAATATGGGAGCTGTTTCTGCATCTTGGAGCAGGAGACCACTTCCGCCACCTCTTCCTTGTCATGAATGAATGATCGTGCAACTCTAGCTCAAGCGCAAGATTGAGACCAGGAAGTGTTGGTCAGCAATGAAGAAAGAAACCGTCGGCTTCACAGCAGAAAAGAACTAACAATGACTATGATGAATTAAATTGTAGCTCTAGCAGTAGTGAACTTGAAATTTCTTACCAGCATTCATCAACTAGTTTTAACAGACAAGTCAGTGGATTCTGCTACTGGTCCATATGGAATGGGGTTGTTATGGAAGTGACAGTAATGGCTCTGTAGACAGTGGGAATGAGTTGGACTATAATTCAGATGATGGAGGCAATGATTCCGCTGACAATAAATTCAAATTAATGGAAATGGACTTATACATCCTCTCAGAAAAATCACCAATGTATATATGCATCTTAAAAGCACCTGGAACAATTGCATTTTATAACATAATCAAAGTAAAGCGCGCTCTCTAACTGGTCAATTTAGTGTCCCCCATTTGCCCATGGGTGTACGCTGCTGACGTGAACAAATGCAAAGACTAGTTTTCCGCGCACGCTTGTTTTTTCTGGTCACGTAAGATTTTTTAAATAAAAGGGAACTCTTTAGCTACAATGTATCAATGTTATGTTCTAAAACAAATGGTAAACACCACAGCGTACACTATTGAGTTATGGATGCACTTAGGAGGTTTGCTAAGCACTCAAGAAGCTAGACTCGCTCTCGGCTATCGTCTCGAGCGACTCTCATGCTTCTTTCGTCACCTGAGTAAACCTACACTAAAGGTTTTTTTTTCGTTTTTAGTAAGCTGTGTTGGTGTGCGTCATGTGTGTTAACAACTACATACTCTATTTACTTAATTTTAACTCGAAAGAATGGGAAAATCAATGGCGATTGGCAATTTTGTTTCCCACTCGTCTCAGACTTTGCGAACATTTCAGTCAATTCAAAGATATCTGTGATTCAAAGGTACTGATTTGCCAAGCAACTGAAGGACTGGTAGTGAGCCAAAATTACTGTAACAGTTGAATTCTTTAACAGTGAAAATTGAAGTTCCAAATATAGCAAGTGATTGTTGATCATCACAGAAATGTGGGATGTGTTGGAGCATCCAGTTTCTACAACCTCTGTAATTATTTGTCTGAAAACTTTGGGACAGTTAGAAAACAGTGAAACTGTGAATAATAGGGGCTTTTCCCTACATGTACATGTACATATGGAAAACAGGCTTCAGCACAGAAAATGCCATTATTAGCAACCAGTTCAGACCATGATAGTTTGGGCTTCTTTGGATGAAAGAGCTACACTCTGTACACTGCGTAGTCATAATAAACTAACCCTCAGGTCTTAAGGGCTTACAATCAGATTAGTTTGAAATTTAGAGCTATAAAGATGAGGGGCCACCAGGTTATTGTGTAGCCATGTTGTTTTGTCAGATTATGTTCAAGACTGGGAACTAATCAGATTATATTTCCTATGTGTACACTGTTGGCATTAGAAAATTAGAAAAATTACAGTGCATGAACCTTTCTGCACATTTTTAAAAATGAACTTGATTCACACATGTAAAGCTGCTTTTGTAACAGTTTGTTTTCCATTCTTCTTCAAACTGGGAAACAAATTTCTGCTGAACAAATTTCAGGGATCAACATTAACTTTTCAACTTATTAGCCAAGTGATAACTTATATGTTACAACTGTTTCAGTTTCCATCCTAGCCAAACTGGCGAGTGGAAATCAAACACCACTAGTCAAAACTGAATTTCTACTAGCCTGTGACTAGTTAGCTACCGTTGATGTTAAGCCCTGAATTTTCTTCGAGAGTCTCAGTAATTGAAGTATTCTCAACTGGGGATTTTGATAAAATGGGGTAATTAAAAACTAGCCAGTAAAGTTGGTACACTAGTCAGGTGTTCTGGTTGGCTTAACCAGCACTGTTTTTACTAGCTTCAAGTGATGAGCAGACAGGACATGTGAATCTTGTTGTCAAAACTTGAGTCCACAGAAAGAAATCTCTTGTACATGATACCTGTGTTATACACCTGTAATGTAAATAATTTCTAGGGTTAATTGATTATAAATTTTGATTGCCTCTCCCTTCAGAAATCTACACTCCGTCACGGTCGAAGGAGTTTCTCACCAACTTCACCCACTGGATCAAACAAAGTTGACAAGTATTATTTAATAACACGCTGAAATTCAAAATTTGGGGATGGAAGGTCTGTCAAATAAATGCAATTTGGTCAAACCACTAGTTGATTGTTGATTTTCCTTTTATGCAATTGATGCTGATTTATTTATTTACATGTATTTGGGGTTGGAGTTCTGTCTTCTTTTTTCTTTTTTTTTCTTTTTTTCACATACTGTATTCTGTATTCCGTATTCCGGATTCCGTATTCTGTTCCCTTTTTCATTTAAGTCTATGTAAAAAGTCTCCTCAGGAAACACTTTGCTAATATTGAAAGCAGGTACATTTTTATTACTAATGCATTGCAGCTGTATTGCCTAACCTCAGGTCATTATCCAGTTTGAAGAGAACACAACGTATGAGGAGCAAACAGCCCACAGCCAAAAAAAAATTATGAATAGAGGGCTCATGGCTGCTGAATATTAGTTACTAGATAATTTTGAGTCCTTTATGTGATTCTCATATTCTTTTTCAGTTCACAGTTATTGCACCAATTGTGTTGTTTAATCAGCTGAAGACAGAAATCCTTCAATCTCATATCATGGAGAAGACATTCATTCTCATCCAGGAGCTTTTTACAGCAGCAGAGAAGGGTTTTAACTTTAAAAAAAATACTTTTTGAAGGTACGGTCGGTACACTACCACTCATGTTTAAGTTAACAATGCAGACAGATTTCTTATGCTCAGATGCAGGGTAGTGAGACGTGCACATACGATTTTTTTTTTCTGTTTGCACGGATGAAAACAAATACACGACTTTGTTGTTCGGAGCTATAAGTTTCCTTTGTGTTACATCGTTGTGTAAAACAAAGAACTTTTCGGCTTGAAAAACCTTGGATCAAATTGACAATGGAAAATGTACACAGTCAAAAAAGCTATCATGCTACACGTACACATGTCGTATCGCTATGCAAATTTATCGAATAACCAGCAGTAGCAGTAGAGTTGCTTGATCTGAGCTGTTGATCAATTGGACCGAAAGGAAATTGTCACTCATAAAAGGCATTGAAGCATGTGTACCATTAAGGGAATACTCACTAATATGCTTCCCAATTTGTTCATTGCAGTCGCACTCCCTTGAATGTTTACGCACTAGACTGTATACAACGAAGTTGACATTGAAGGTAGTCTCAATGACAGGCCAATGTTTTAAATTATGACTTTGCTTTCAGTTGACAGTATAAGGGGGCACTGTGCTGCCCAACCATAGAGAAGAGTATCTTGTAACACGTGGTGCAAACTAACCCATCATATGGCTGGAATAGCATCCAATATGGTGATGGTGGAACATAATTCTCTTCTCTGATTGGTTGTGTGCCACAGTGCCCTCCCCACCTTGCACTACTTGTTTTCAGTATGGTTTCCTATCTGGATCCTTGGCTTCAAATATTGATTGCAGTTGAACTTTTAGTCACCAGATCTCTTTGGGTTCAGGTGAGTGAACTGCAGCAGTACATGCCTCAATCCTGCAGCCAATCATCGCAAAAGAAAGGAAGCAATAGAGAGGACGAGCTTGAGTAAGTGTTATTTTCATATCACCCATGTTACTCTGCGCAACATTTTCGAAAACTCAGGGACTTTTTGTGTAGTCCTCCATTTGTATCCTCCAGGTTCACTTCATTGTGATTTTTGGTTCTGGACTCCTCCTGGGTTCTCATTAGAAGGCAGGACCTCCACATCAGCGCCAGGATATTAGAGTATCATTACCTGCTCACCTTTGCATGGGACTTAAAGGAATCCAGTTCTAGAAATAATTTCTTGCCAAGTAATTCTGGTAAGGATGCCTTGGTACTAAAAAATGAGACATCTGCTATTATCACTTACATAATTATGCACTTTCTGTTTCTTTTCAGACTGATAAACTATTGAGAGAAGTTCTGGATGTTGCTACTTCGCTTCTGTTTGAACTGATGTGTGCTGTGCATCAGGTTAGGTTTGAATACCATTAACTCATAAGGGTGACTAACATCTCATTTCTCCTGAAACTACCTCCCCTAAATTGAACATTTAGGCGATGAGAATGAAAGAAATGATCGGTATCAAAAGAATCCCCTCCTGATTGTCAAACAAGTTCCCCTTGCGAACTGAATTCCCAGTTTTCTGGGAATTCCTAGGAATTCCTAGGAATTCCTAGGAATACTAAAAAATTCCCAATTATGCAAATGAGCTCCTACTTGAACAGCTTGGAATTACTGGGAATTTCTGAGAAAGGAAGATTATTCCTAGGAATTCCTAGGAATTCCTAGGAATACTAAAAAATTCCCAATTATGCAAATAAGCTCTTATTTGAAAAGCTTGGAATTACTGGGAATTTCTGGGTAAGGAAGATTCTTGTTTTGTGAGGACGTGGAATTCCTAGGAATTCCTAGGAATTCTCAGCTCCACCAACTCTAAGAAGGGTGGAATTCTTAGGAATTTCTGGGAATTGAATTTGAGGCAATTCAATTCTTTGAGGCTGTTCAATTCTTTGAGGCTATACAAAATTTACCACGAGATATACATACTACGTATATAACTTGCTATGTTTATAACTTAAAAATCATAAATTTCAATTATTTAAACTAAGTTCTAGTAAATGACTTTACATTAAAAAAGCAGCAGTCAATTAAATAAAATACAAATTGCCAATTAATCCAATGTATACTTTACTTATCACAGATTTTGCTTTCTAACCTCAATTAGGACTCTTGGATTCCATGATCACAAACGTTTTTATTGTGATGCCAAATAATTTACCAGCGTATGCCCACAGATGTGCAAAAATTACAAAACATTCATCAGCTGTTCCTTGATACACACCTCCCACATGTGTAACAATAATTACATTTATTAATTACTGTTATCTATGCTAAAAGAACTTAATGTTGGATATGGATGTAAGTAATACCTCCCTAACATACATTTACTGGTTGCCTCTGTTGGAAAACCTTGAAAGTCAAGCTCAGTTGCCCCAAACACTATCAGAGACTTTTTGTTCAGATTGTATCCTTTAGTTAGTAGAAATTTCAAGCCTTTGACAAATTCAGCACCTAGTTAATCTTTCTTTTTTCAAGATTGTTGTTGCTGCTTTTTCTTTTGCTCTGTTTTTGATACTGATTGATGTAGTTGTTTCCTTTTTTTATTCTTACAAAATGTTACTTCTCGTTGATCATCCGCACACTCCGCAAACATTTGGTATGCGAACAAGACAGAGGTGGTCACTGTTCCCTTCAAGAAATAACACCTTTTCCTTGATTTCTTCAATTCGTTTCACTTGAAACTCTGATCTGAAAATATTTTTCAAACAGGACTTGTTAGCAATGAGGAAGAGAAACAGAGTCTCTTCTCATAACTTACTTTCTTAAATGCACCAATCACTAGACCTCCTACAAAATATTACTTGTATTACTGGTGCAAAATACAAGTCTTTCTTTATATACAAATTAAAAGTTCAAGTCACACTTCAATAAAAACAGTACTAATGTTTACCTGTTGTCCACCTCTGAGACTCAGTCAGCTATCAACAAAATTGTTTTATATGTTACAGGTCTGGCATAAAAAATTTACTTGTAGCATATAATGACAAGCTTAGAGAAAATCAATTCTGACAATTTAATACTTCAACTGCTTTCGCTCAAATTTATCTATACCTTTCTTGTTTCATCCTTAATGTGTGATGACCAGCCTCACTAAAGAAGAATGGATTCTGGAGATCCGGCTTCACTTCTCTAAAAACTGCCAAGGTGATCCCGGACTGCCTATCCCACACAAAGAACTCTACCTCTCCAACCTTGCCACACACAAACAAGACAACATAAGCATTTCGCTTTATCATTCTGGTATACTCCTTAGAGTAAAACACTTTTCCATTCTTTACAATTCGTAGCACTTTAAATTTGTTGCCTCCACTGACTTCCTCATCAATCATCTCCATTATCTCCTGTGGTAGCCCTACCAATTTCTTGGCCCCTCCAGCAATGAAGCAATTCTCTGCCTTCTTAAGATTTTTAACTCTAATACATGAAAGGAAAAAATAAGTAGATTGATATATTTAGTAATTGCGGGGTGTCTTTCAAGTATAAAAGAAGTTGTCTGTAGTGTAAAAAAGCTAATTCAGATGATGATGATAATGATTTCTATCAATATTACTAAAACTGTAGTAAAAAATCAGACAAGTACACTTAAAGCAAAATATCACTTACTCTCTTTTGGTGTTCAGCATTCTTTTGACAAAATCCTTGACCACACCATTTTCCAACATATCTACCTCACATCTTAAGCGACTCTGTGCATGAAGCATCCATACAACCTAGTAACAAATTCAAAATTGCACATTTGATGCTAGTAGTTCATTTTTCCAAATGGAGTTGTAAAAGTAAGTTCTTCATTTACTTGATTTAAATCATAACGGTTTTTGAGTTGGAAAAGTAAGTTCTTCATTATACTCTATTTAAATTTATAACAGTTGAATTATACAGAGGAAACCTATTAGCTGTTTGGACACCAGGGGTCAAGGGAATTGAGCCATACTAACAGGGTTAAGGGCAAATATCTTAACTGGTTCTGACATATACTTTTGCATTTTTAAATAACTAAATTATTCAATAAACATCTGGAATACAGAAACTTTATGTGCAGACAATATTAACCAAGGGAACTTTGTTGAACATAACTGAATTCTATAATTAAAACAATAACAAACTTGGCTATACATATTCTTCTCAAAAACAATAGTCATGACTTAACTTCATGTTACATTAGTTAAACATTGTTTTTCAGGAATTATATTTGTTTTGTTTGGACAACGAAATTGACCATAACAACAAGGAACCATATAAATGAGGTGACCTGATAAGGTGGGGTGGTGTTGAGGTGTAACTGTTGTGGGGTTGCTAAAAGTACCTGTCTACAAACATTTCCTGTGCCATGTGTCAAGTCCATAATGGTTCCATTCATGTCTTCAAACCCAAAGGTGGACCATGCCCACAGTGGACCCCATCCTTCCACATAGTCAGCTAGATGGGCACCAGTGTTGTGAACATTGAGACCACAACTGCCATTACCTTTAAATGTGGGTGAAAACACACTATTTATAGCCATGCACTTTTGTTGACCATCAGTCAATGGGTGAATTCACCCTAAGAACATACTTTACCATAGCTTTGGTTTTTTCTATTTAACAATTATTCGCCGAATGCAAGGTGAATATCATCTAATAATCCCTGAGACGAAGTCGAGGGGATTATTCGACAATATTCCCCGAACCTGAGGTGAATAATTGTTTTAGTATAATTTCAGAGCTGAACAAAAGAGAAATTTCTAAAATCATAACATTTTAGTAACACTTACTAGCATTTTTTTTAACATTTTATATAAACCGCGTGGAGCGATTTATACAGCGTCATTAAGGAACCACTCAACCAATCCGATTGCTGGAAACTCTTTGCTCAGCTCTGAAATTATACTAATATTACCCATACAGACAGAGGCATAACATCATCAACCCATCAGGATAAAAAAACTCCCCAAAAACTCATCAGAGCCACAAACCAATTTCGTCTTTGTGGAGTAGCAATGCAACAAGAATAATTGATTTTCTGTCATTTCTTTTAACAAAAATAAACAAGAAAAGCCCCAGAGGTATTATTAGTATCCAATCTGCTATTTCTCCTCTTTGATTGAAATATACATTATTGTCACTCAAGATATTTGACAGTGGTTTAAGAATGTTTGTTTGGTAGAGTGAGACAAGTCTAGTACAATTGACCTAGAAAAAAAAAGATAACAACAATATAAAGTACATAGAAAACTGGTATTGGCAGGTGTAAAATCCTTAGTGAGCCTACAGTGTAATGGTAATAATATGAAATCAGGCACTGGATGTAGAGTTCAGACTGTCACTGAGTTTTCTTACCATACAATTCTTGAAAATCCTTGTAGAATGTCTGTAGGAGATCTCGAGCTCTTGCAATCTGTGCTGGTGTTATTCCATCACCTTTTCTTTTGCT